ATTGAGTGGGTGAAAACCTTGCCTTCTCGTCTCAGATTGCCTCCTGCTCACGTTGCATATGTGTGGGTATGGATGCAGAGTAGCAGCAGTGGACTCAGGCTGCACCTCAGGATGGCTCCTGGTAGGAACCCATGTCCTGGTGCTGGCCTTTTCCCTCCTTGAGGGCTCAGGCAGATGAGCTCTGCCAAGCCTTGGTTTAAGTTTCACTTCCAGCGAAGCCAGCAGGCAGCATGTGGGCAAAGCCAGCAGGCAGCCCAGCACTGCTGGCCTCAGAGGCTGCGCTCTCCTTCATCACAGTTTTACAGCTAAAGGTGAGGTTTTACACCGAAACAATTCAGGTTCAACCACACATTCCTTTCTGCTGTCTTTGTTCTGGGGCATTACCAAATTTGTAAAACAGATGACTGGAGCAAACAGCATGTTATGTCTATAATGGCTGCCTACAGTTTCTCTTCTTGCAGTATTGGACATACTTTTTTTTTTTAATCTTTTACCAACAAAAGAGTGATAAATTAGTTTGGCATCTGCCCATTGGCAAGTCTGGCCACAGCACAACTGTTTGTAGCTGTCTTCTGGAAAGGTGGTTCTGCTGGAGATCTCTGGGAAAGGAACCTGGAGAATTTCTACCAGACTCTACTGTTCCCCTGCTCTTCTGGGAGTCTTCCCAAGGATTGCATGGCTATGGCTGAACACTGCTTGTTTACTACCTGGGCTCCATATTTTATATGCACCTGCTGTTGTGTAGTAATCTTCAATCATGAACCTCTTACTGAAAGAAGTATTACTCAAAACTGCCTGATGCTATGAATTTGCTACTTAATTCAAAATTTTAACTAGAACCTGTAATAACTCTGTAGGTAAGTAACAGATTCTGCTTCCTTTTTCTTCACACAATTCAGAGGCATAGGGAAGTCTGTATGTCAGGAACTTCTACTTCCACAACATATTCAATGAACCTGCTTCCCGCCCCACACCCCTTATGACAGCATACCCAAAGAGAGACCTTGAATGAAGAATCTATTGATCGTTCAAATGTTCTTTTTGTCAAATGATTTATGACATATTACACGACTCAAATCAATCCCGCAGATGTTGAGGAAGCCTGGTTGCTTTCTAATGTTTGTTTGGGGTCCCAGCTCCTGTGAAAGTTTCCATTCTTTGACTTGATAAACTCTGAATCCATGGAAAGCTTCCAAATATAAGCAGTGAACCCGGCTTTTGTTAAGGCGTACTTAAAAGTAATTCCTGCAATGCCCATTTTGGACATTCTCTGAAAATTACTGCCAAGACTATTTACAATTTATACTAATTAAAATAATGAATAAGTATTTAGAAGTATTATTTGTCAAGTATATTGTTTTAGACTTAACGTTTGCTGAAATAAATGAATAGGTGTGGCTCTTGATGAGGTAAAAATTGTTATTCCGAAATATGGTCTAAAGTATTAAGAAGTAAGCAGTGATTTCAATGAACCAGTAAACCCAGTGTGAAAATGAACTATAATTAACATTTCCCAAATGTAAATTCCAGTGTCTATTATGTACATAACACATAAAACCCAAGGCTATAGTCAGATGATGTTGACTAACTACTTAAGCACAGAGAGATACGTGAATGGTTTCCTGGATTTCCTAGATTATTTTTTTTTTTTAATTATTATTTTCTTCAAGAGTAATAGTTTCTCTTTGATCATTTCCTACCATTTTTTCCCCTTCATATCCTCATGGAAACCTGTGCTTCTCTCAAGGTCTGCTGACCATTTGGGATAATGTAATAATGATGTTTTACTTACAAAGATGGAACAGGTCGTTTAATCCTCACAGCCGTCACCTCTCGATCACTGTCTTCTTGCTCAAGTTTGTCCTCTGCTTCCCCATAGCCACTGTCATCTGCATCCAGGCTATCATCATGACACTTAAGCAGCAGTTCTTCCTTAGCCCTCTCTTTGTCTTCTTGTTCTATCTGTTTCCAGCCCTTGGTCAGCTCTGATACCACATTTGAACACTTTCTCCTTATGGTCGGAGATAATTTGCCACTGAGCATTTTGTCAGTAGCGCTTGATTCTTCTTTGAGCTTCGTCATCTCAGAGTTGCTGTTGTTATTCTCGTATCTTTCACTGAGGAGGCTGACATCACCTCCTCGTTCATAGACTTTGCTTACAATTGTTTTGGTCACCTCTTTGCTTTTAATGCTGAACTTTTTGAGGGCTTCATCTGATTCCCTTGAATTTTTTGCGGCGTCTCTTATTGTCACTGATTCCTTTGCTGAGGATTTTTCATCATCTTTTCCTTGGACCCTCTTGACAGATGGAATTGGCCATTTTGCAAAGGTTCCTTCTTGTACAGGCTGAGCTGATGAATCTTCTGCAGAGGGAACCCATCCAGAGGGCTCTTGGGCTTGCTTTATGTGGTGGTCAGATACCCATTGCTGCCAGCCTCGCGCCAAGCTGAAGACTAGGCTGGCCATTCGGATCTTGTGGACAGCCCTTTTCACAGGAGTAGTGCTCAGCTTTTCTTCAGGAGCCATGTTGCTGCCTGCTGCCATGCTGGCTTTTCCCCTTCTTATGCTAAGCACCTTCTGAATTAACTTCCTGACGTGAATAATGCCCTCTGAAGAGAGCTACAGAGATTTAAATAGAAGCAGGAGCGGTTTGTGCCCATGGAAAATATGTGAAACACTTCTCACAAAGATATAGTATCCTCACTGTTACAGAGATCTTTTTTTAAAATGCAGGGTTGCATTTCATCGCAGCAGATGAATGATGTATGATGTAAGCAGCATGACAGAGACCTGCACTGGAATTAATGGGAAATGAACAGCTCTTTCTCCTTTAGCCCCCCTTCCCTGGGACCGCTCAATTCTCAATTTGTTGGCAAGGGTCTTGTTCTACTGGAAGTGCAGAACTTGTGTTAGAGATACTGAACGGTGTCTGAAACTGCTAAATGTGAACTGCTGTCAGTTGCTAACAACTTTGGCCAGAGTAGAGACCCCTCGTCATCACAAGTAAATAGTGGCTCTCGTCACGGAGTGTAAAGCCAGAAGCAGACTATGAATGAAAGATTTTTAGATGCAGTTTCTAAAAAGATGCTAGGTGATTTCTTCTTATTGCTCATACGTCCAAGGAAATTCAGGTTTGTTAATTTTTTAAAAGGTGTTTATGTGCTCTCTTGCAAGTCATTATCTATTAATGTCCGTCTATTTAGAATGTGCCTTCAGGGGGGTCTGGGAACACTGTTGTGTTTGGTGTCAGCACTAAGGATAAGGGAATCACTATCTCTAGTCTGGAGATTAATATAGTAAGTCTGACTTGATCAGATGAATTAATGATCTCCTAGTTTCAAGATTTTGAAAAAATAAAATATAGCCTATTTAATACCTGACTGCTTTTCAAGAAAGTTGTATATGAGACTTAGTGTTACTTGTCTATTATTTACAGCATAATTATGTTTACTATGTACAGTATAGAAAAAAATCTAACTTCTTAGCAAATTTTGTGGTTTCTTCATTCCAGAGGACTTCCTGGAGTATGCTCATATTTGAATTTGTAAAATTATTTAGTGAATTGATACATCAATTGTTACATAATAATAAACAGACATTTTCTGAGATACAGTCCTGTGGTATCTTATTTCTTAGTATAATGTTTCCTAAATAGGAACGGAAAATGGCATTGCTTTTTCCATCCATCATACCTTGCAGCTTACAGGATGACCTGCGGCACCTGCCGTGTGGCACTCTGAGGCACACTGAACTGCAGGGAATTCTGTTGGTTTCGTTGGGGTTACACCAGAGATAAAACGGACTCGTGGTACTCTGCCTTTTTCTCTTCTCTCTACTAAAGCTTGGGCTGTTTGAAGTAGGTTTGATCCTATCTAGCTCTTGTTTAATAATATAAGACTATATCATACCTTTGACTTCTAGGCAGAATTCCTCATTAATCTGTGGGGTCATTTCCTCTTCAAAACTGATGACATAATGTAAGTTAGTGTTGCTATTAGATATTTACTCATATTTTTATTTTAGAAAGAAATGTGTCACCTCTGTGTACTGTACAATCTCAGCTATTACCAACTGCATCATAACTGTGAAATGGCATTGTGAGGTGTGCTAATGCAACTTGATTAAGAAGCACATGTTACCAAATATTTATTTTGGTGGCATTTTAAAGCTAATCAGGAATGGGAGCCTCTTGCGTTTAAAAAATACACATGCGCATGCATGCATGCTCACAGGGTGTTGTATGTTCCCTAATATACAAGGAAGATGCAAGTGAAAGAAGAGAATGATACACATGCAGAATAGGAGTGCGACACCAGCTCATTATGTCATTCCATGTGATTTCTTGAGTATAAGAGTGGCCAAGGCTTTAGGTATGAGCTGAAAGCTAAATACAGAGGTAAGGGCTGAGACCAGGGAAGGAGTGCAGTGAAACTTAAGTGACTGTGGAAGGACAATCATGGAGTGTAAGGCCAATAGGGACCCCTGTTGTAAGGTAGGATCAGCTCCAGGTTCCTCTTTTACCTGTTCTTAAAGACTACCAGCAGTAGATACTCCCCACTGCCTAAGCAATCTATTCCAGTGCTTAACTGGCTTAAACAAAAGCTTTTCTGAGGTCTGACTTCCACTCCTGTCACAGCACTTTAAGCCTCTATCACTGCTGACAACAGACAAATCCCACCTTTTCTGAGGCAACCTTTCTTTGTGAAGATGGCTGTATTTCTCCTCGATTTTCTGAACAATCCCACTTCACAACTTTTCTTGAGTTTTCATGATCCCTGATCAACTTTAGCCAGCTTCTGGGTTCCCTACATTATGTCCGCGTCTTTCTTCAAGTGTGATGCCCAAAATGGGGATGGTGTTCTGGTTTAAGCTTGCCCATAGTGTGGAGAAGGAGCAAATGTCTCGTATGTTGTGCTCCTGGTTCATGTTCTATTTGTCATCCCCAAAGTTTCCAAAGACTTTCCTGCTATATGGCTATCTGTATTCACAGAGCTGACTGTTCCTTCATATGTGACCATCTTTGTTATTAAATTGTGTTCTAATTTATCCCGATAAGTTTTTCAATTTGTCATGACCAATTTGATTTTTAATCCCTGTTCCAGTGTTCTTGCAATTCAATTCATATTTCATAAATATCCTGTCTATTCCACTTTTGGAATCACAAATGAAAATAGCAAGTAAGTATAAAGTAGACCCAGTTAATAAGCACATTCAATTTGATAGAGAGATATTGCTATTTATTTTCATGTGCTTTTCCAGTTAATTTTGTACTAGTCCAATGAATTTTGCATATGAGATAAAAATAAAAAACCTGACCAATATCAAGATGTGTAGCATCTGCTGCTCTTACTCATCTTTGGAGGTTGGACCAGATGACCTCTGGAGGCCCCTTCCAACCTCAACAATTCTGTGATCTTCCAAAGCCTGCTACTTTGCTGTAAAAAAGAATTAAGATTGATTTCATGTAATTTGTCAAATCAAAATTGCTTGTAACTATCCTGGTTACAAAGGCCTCTGCTAGGTTTATTACTGTAATTACTGTTGAAGTTCTCAGACACTTTTACTCTCATACAGTCTTTGCAAACAGTTGTACTGAAATTCATAGCACTAAAAAAGAATTACATTCCTGAGGAGTGTTTGGAAATTACAGGACATTTCAAAGAATTTGTTAATAGAGACTCTTTTTTTTGTAATGGACTTGACCTTGGTGTGCTGGTCCTAGTCCCAGAGACTTATTTGTTACAGAGTTTAGAAAAATGACAAGGAAAATTACAGACTAATGAAAAACACCAAGATTACAGATGTAAACTACTATTAAATCCATGTTGCATGACAATATGTTAAACAAATATTTAGTTTAAATTCGTCACTATTTTAAGCTGAAGTTATAACATCACAGACTTGTCTGAAATGCCAATGAAACCTTAATGTAATTATTATGAGGATAATTTAGTTTAAATATTTAGTTTAAATTCGTCACTACTTTAAGTTGAAGTTATAACATCACAGACTTATCTGAAATACCAATGAAACCTTAATGTAATTATTATGAGGATAACTAAATGTATGATGCTTAATTTTAGGGTCTACAGTGATGTTGCCTTGAAAGTGTTGAATGGTGCCTTATTTTATATGGTGATGTTGCCAGCAAGAAGTTAAGCATAAGAAAAGTATAAATAACATCTGAGTCATCCAGTCAGATTCATACTTTGAGAGCTGCTTACTTTACAAATGGTTTGCTGCAGTAAGAGAAAAATTTATTACTTCAAGGTTTTTAAGTTGTATTCATAGCAGAATAACAGGCCAAGGCTACACCTGAATTTCTGTACCTAATCTCCCTACTGGCACTCCTAAAAGCCAATAGTCAGCCCTTAGGGCACAGGTATGTTTTAGGCTGACTCAGCCTGGACCACATTTTCTATGTGTCTTCCATACCTCACAAGGTATACTCCAATGCACAAGGAGGCTTGGTGAAGGTGACTGTGCCATGGGCTTTCAGAAGTTCAGAAACTACGCTTGAAATTGGAGTTGAGGGACCATTTCTTGCAGAAGGCATATAGAAGAAATAAATAGCAATTGGGGAAAGTAAATAGATGAGAGGGCTTGGTGCTTATGGTGAAAGTTGTAAACTCCCTTTTCCAACAGTTCTGGGATTTAATCTCTTTGACACCTTGAGACAAGTCTACACATATTCCTAGGATCTTGTTGCTGCTTTTGAATTGCTGCATTTCACTTAATACCTCTGATTTCCTGAATCCAAAGGTATGAAGGACCAGCTGAGAGGTTGCCAATGTCAATGTTAAAAGTTGGGACATTTTTGTTGTCTGGGTTTGTTTATTTTTTCCCCTGGATGCATTATTGTCTGTATAGTTATATACTATTTAAAAATCCCTTTATTTTCTCTCTCATGCTGTGCAATATTAACAGTCTTTGGGAGACCAGTTTGTCATTAAATTATTTTTTTTTTGAGGATACTTAATTTTAAATGTAGGACTGTATCCTTCATCCATTACTTTACCTTACCAGACATTGATATAAGTTGTTCAATGTTTTTGATGCCTTAAAACAAAGAATTTAATTTTAAACCAATTGTAAGTGTATGAAAGATGCTGTCTTCCTCCTCAGAGTTAGTGCTGAATAATGAGAACAAGCTGTGTTTTATTGTAAAGTATAACCAGCTGCCGTTACCAACAGGAACCTCAAGGTTGAATTTTCTTTTCATCGTGACACTGTTAAAAGTACATTGTGTCAGAACATCGTATGTTGCCAGTGATCACAGAAAACCTGGGTAAAGAGTTGTGGATTTCCTTATTTTTAGAATTCACATCAAACATACCACTTCTGACAACAGTAATGAGGAACTGTGTCTCATTCAGCAAGCAGTTTCGTGTACAGTCCAGGTGTCTGAGTTCTAAGGACTGAACTGCCCCTGAGCCTTTGGACTGGGTCCTCTCTAGCCATTAATGGATAGCAGTCTACACATTCATTGGTGCATTTTCTTGCATTTACATCCTATGTATAGCCATAGTGATTTGGTTTTTTTC